GATCTTTCAGGTCAAATCCTTTATGGCCGAGTGCTGTGGAGCCCAGAGCAAAACCTCCATTCTGCCTACAGGCTGCAGCTGGAGAAGGTCTACCTCTGCACCGGCAGGGACGGCTACGTGCCTTTCTTTGATCCCACGGGCACGATCTACGACGAGGGGCCCCAGTACGGGTGCATTCAGCCCAACAGACACCTGAAACACCGGTTCCTGCTGCTGGTGCGTGCGCCGGCACCTGCGTGGATGTGAACTGCGCCTGCAGTGGGCAGGGCCCTTCTCGGTGGTTCTCTCTGTGTGTTTTGTTATTGTCGTCGTTATTTCTCTCTGATGGGCTAAGTGCTAGTACGCGTGACCGAAGGTGGTGGTTATGGTGCCTAGCGTGACGAGCTTTTTACTGACATCCAGGAAAGGGAAAGTTTAGGCCAGCGTTTCTCACGGTCCAGTCCACAGTCCCTGAGTGTTCCTAATCCTCTTTCGGGACGTCCACAAAGTCAAAGCACTTTCATGACAGTGCGATGATGCTTGTCCTTTTCACATTTACTCCCTCTTGAGTGTAGAGAGCAGGAAAAGGTTATCAGTATGATTTCAGATTCCACATTGTGACTAATTTTTAAAAAATACCATTTACTGATATCTAATTTAGTATCAAAAAAGAGTAGCCACAATTATCTGAAAAAGCTATTGACACATTCATGCCTCCCTTTTCCAACTCCACGGCTGTGTGAGGCCCTGTTTCCTTCACGCACTCCGGCCAGGACGGCGTATCACGGCCGATCGAATTCAGACACAGTTAGGAGAGCCCAGCTCTTTGGAGATGCGCAGCCATGTGAAATGATGCCAGCTCTCTTTTGGGGGGAGGGGATGAATATTAAGTATTCTCACTAAAAAATATCTTACTTAGGTTAACATGTAATGGGTTGTTCATTGTCATTTTAAAATGAATTAGTATTTTTAAATTTTTTTAGGTTCAATTGTTAACACAGTAAATATTAACAGATATAAATCACATAAACAAAAGCTCTTTGGGGTCCTTGATTTTTAAGTATGCGAAGGGTCCTGAGACGGGATAGCTTGAGAATTACTGGTCCAGGCTGTCCTGCTCTTTGCGATTTGAGATTGTGGAAGCCGCCAGCGTCCTGCCCCTTGAAGAGGATGGGGAGTGCCCAGAGGCAGCCGTTGACCTCAGGAAAGAGCTTCCTTAACACACGTTCTGCCCACCTGACCCAGCAGGGAGTGAAGAGTACTCTTCTCCTTACGGTGACCACATTCTACCAATATGGTGGTCCTGTCTTTCTAAATCTTGCGTTTTTCTTCCTGAAATTCTAGGACCGCAGTCAGCCGGAGGTAACGGATAAGTTCTTCCATGACGTGCCTTTTGAGGCTCACTTTGCTTCCGAGTTGCCTGATTTCCAGGTGGTCAGCAGCATGCCAGGCGTGGATGGATTTACTCTGAAAGTAGACGCGCTCTATAAGGTGAGTTTGGTGGGAAAAATAGAAGCCGAGGACCAAGTCCACTGCGAAGCTTGCGAAAAGGAGGAATGCGTCCTTTCTGGACCGTCGGGTGTTCTTTGTGGCATTGTTGCCGACAGATATTTTTTATTGTCGTTAAGCTTATCATTCACCCAGAATTTTTACCGTCCGTCCCTAATAAACCAAAGCAATGATAAAATTCTTCGATTTGCATATAGTCACTTGTCATTGTGTACATCAGAGCTGCATAGGAAACTCCAGTTTTTCGTGGGTTCTTTTATATCACTTACCTTTTCATCTCTGTGCTGGACCAGCTAGTTTTAACAGGCATGTGGAAAACATTGAACAAAATCATAAACACAATACAGCAATTGAGAATGGCAAGAATTACTAGTATTTGATAAACAAAAACACCCTAAGTCCCAGCAATAAGCAGGAACTTCCAAGATCAAATTTTACCTTTTTTCTGTCTCCAAATAGTAATCCATGACCCTTCAGAACTATTATCACTTTTCAGAAGTTATTTCAAAGCCGTGGAGGGTTTCACTAGGGGTGGATGAGAAGGAAATTAAATACTCAATGATACGGGGTCTCAGGGGGTGACCCAGGAAGCGTTCAGATTCAGCAAACATTCGCCAAGTATCTACGTGCTATGCACAGGGTAGATGTGTAGCGGATACTTGTTGAGAGACTCCGTTTTAGCTGAAGCTCATCAATAAATAGTGAACTGGCATAGCAAACAATCGAAGGTCGGTGGGAATCAATGTGGTTATTAACGCTATTATTTCACTTCTGCCAATAAAGACCAACAAATCGTAAGCGTCCGTTTAGCTAAAGAGACCACGGAAGACAAATGCTTAGGCTGTTCCATGCACAGGTAGGGAAACAGAAACGAATGTGAATAGCTAACCCCAAATCACCCTAATTTGGAAATGAAATAGAACCCGTAACGTTGGGTTCTGTTCTCTGGGTGTTAGTAGACATCAACCATTACTAATGCTTTTCTTGAAACCAAGTATCCATCTAAGTGTATGTATGGCAGCAACCGTCTCTCCATCCCCCTTCTTCCCAGAGGTGGCCGGGCAACGGTGACGTGTCCGGTTTGTCTCCCGTCTCCCTCCTCCTGCAGGTGGAAGCGGGACACCAGTGGTACCTCCAGGTGATTTACGTCATCGGCCCCGACACCGTCTCGGGGCCCCGGGTCCAGCGTTCTCTCACGGCCCCCCTGAGGCGCAGCCGGAGGGACCTGGTGGACCCTAGCGGCCGGCTGACCCTTGACGACTCCCTCATCTATGACAACGAAGGCGACCAAGTCAAGAACGGCACCAACATGAAGTCCCTGAATCTGGAGACGCTAGAGCCAGCGGTCGCTGCGTCTCTGTCCCAGACCGGGGCATCTGTTGGCAGCGCCCTGGCCGCTATCATGCTCCTGCTGTTGGTGTTTTTGGTGGCTTGTTTCGTGACCAGGAAGTGCCAGAAACAGAGGAAGAAACGGCCCACAGAGGACGTTTTGGAGGAATATCCTCTGAATACCAAGGTGACCGTGCCCAAGAGGAACGCGGACCGGCTGGAGAAGAACGTGAGCAGACAGTTCTGCACCGTGCGGAACGTCAACATCCTGAGCGAGACCGAGGGCACATATGCGTTCAAAGGCGCTAAAGTGAAGAAATTGAATCTGGAGGTCAGAGTTCACAACAATTTGCAAGA